GCCCCAGCCACAGCCATGGCATGCTTCTTCTGCTCATTCTGAATATCAATGTCAGTTTGCGCTGTTTGTGAAGCAGTGACATTTGATTCTACAAAATTCAATTCCTTGGAAACTGTTGTTGGTGTGGCTGTGGCTGTAGCAGCGGCTGAGGCTGATGATCTTCTAAAACTCCATCGCTTCTTCTCCTTTGGGGTTGTGGAAATTGGAGTGGTTGAATTTTCTGTTCCATTTGAAGAAGAATTCAGGTTGGTTGTAGATTTTTCCTTCTCCTTTTCCTTGTCCTTCTTACCTGTCAACAAGTTTCTAAGCCATTTCCCTGTCTTCCCCATCTCTTTCACACGCCTACTAAGCTATTAAGGATACTAGCAAGTAGCAACAACTTAGAAGAAAGTAAGAAGACTATTTTGTAGATCTCTTCATGTCTACATTTGATAAGTTGCTTTCATGGCCCTCTTATTAAAAATAGATAACAATATTTGACAGCCTAAACTCACTGTCTCGTCACATCTTTTCCGTACAATATACTAACCACCATTATGAGAATATGTTCGGGTCTCTATGCCATGTAACAGGTAAGGCCTGGTTGTGTGAAAAAAAGCAAAGAGGAAGCTCCCCATATAAGCCACTTGCCACGATCTGAAGCACTACGTAAGTGTCATAGATTAAGATAATAAGATTCCTTGCCCTCCAAAGCCTAAAGTGGAAAAGAATTTTCAGTTACCATGCTGTCCCTATAGGTAGGTATGCCTCATCGGTGGCTGTCAAGGGTAATTTGGTGATTTCAGCTATCGGTTAATATGGGATGGGATGGATCAGAAACCATGTGATATTAGATCAAGAACATGCAGCATCCGTGTAAAAGACTCATATTTGGGTAGGAGAGAGTCCAGTTAAGGGTCCATTACAAGGGTCATGAACTAAAGAAAGTTAAAAGATCTTGATCCACTAATAAATGATTGAGAAGGGGTCCTGAGGATGTGCACGTGCCCATCCTATCCGTGTAGTTTAGGCATATAAGACTTAAATATTCTAGTGTTGTTTTTGTTAACCCTTTTTACTAGTTAGTTTTATATCCCGGTTGACCCTACCAAAGTTTTTGTCCTGATACCAAGCCCTTGGGAGAAGTCATCTAACTTTTACATTTCCTATAACCAAAGGCTATACATGGGTTGGTGAGCTTTTATGCTGTATGTTAAGCATAATGTGCCAGTGGTTCCCTGCAAGATTGCTTAATGAAGTTGGAGAACTACATAAAGGAACTTATAGGGATGGTATATTGGTTCTCAATTCCACAAGCACTGCTACAGATTTTAAGTAGTCAAATCAAATTATTTTACAATTTCAGACTATGCGAGTACTAATGACTCATGAGCCAGAGGGTCACTGACACGCCAATGTTTATTAAGCAGCTGAATTGGTTGGCTATGGTTGTGGCTCAATGTAGTAAAGTGTTTGATCCATTTGTCAAAACTTTGTTGAGTAACAAAGTATACCCTTACCGCTTATAATGGGTGGATTTTCACATTTAGAAATCAATATAAGAAAGTGAAAATTCCATGTCCCATTGAACAAAGTCGAGCCTTATCCGCATCATTTTTGTTACTTTTGTAAAAGTAAATTGAATAATTTTCTTCCTTTCTAGCTTCTGAAGCTTACCTTTATCTTATCTTTATTTTGATCACCTTTATTTTACCTTTATTTTGATCCAAGAAGGCCGTTTCTTTGAATTTTTTTTCATTATATTTGCTCACGAATAAGTGATGATCCAGTAGTTCTTACTCGAGTTTTTGGACTTCGATTAAAGTTTTTTTTAATCATTGTGGTTATAGAATGAATTCGGTGTTTTTTTAATCGATTCATATGGTTCCAAGTCTAACAAGAAAATTCCTAGGCTAAACATATGTGCAGTAAATGAATGAATAAAATTATGATTAATGCTTGATAAATTGCAGTATTCCCACCGGTGATTGATTATACATATAAATGAATATGAAATTAATAAGGCCTGGTCCCATCTTACCCATCATAGACCGGTGATTTGCATTGTTTTCAATTATATCTTTTCATAAACAATCATCCAGTTGGCAGTCACATGGCATGTTTACATGCTCCCCATTTGACTAGGTGTTCTGTTAGGGGAAACATCACCTTGGGAATTGGCTCACTTCCTTCTCTAATTCTCTGCTTGATTCCTTAATCAGCAATTCAGTCGATATTATCGCAAACAAATTCGTCTATTGCTGTATCTATCCTTAATACTTGTATGTTGTGAAGGTGAATTGATAAGTATTTATTTAAAACAATGAAAAGATATAGATGAAAATTGAAATCAGAAAAGTGGGGTTCCTATCCAAACCCATCCCCAGTAGATGTTCATTGTTCTGACACAGTATCTGTAATATGCAAATGACTCTAACTGAAACAAAGTAAAAGTACGGAGTAATATCAGTCACCCCTGCAAATATGATCCTAGAGTCTTCAACTTAATCCAATATCATATAAATAATTCATAAGAAGACAGAGGAGACAAAAACAGAACACAATAATTTGATTGGTGATAAGTTTATGAAGAAGGTTGTCTTCTTATGGTTAAAATATTAATCAATAATGATTCAAGGAATCGAACCCAAACCATAAAGTGAGGCACTTGATCATAGGACAGAAATGATGTATTTTCTTGGAAAGTTCTTATATTATCTGATAAAGGAAAAAATATAAATTTCCGGAGTTGACATAAAACATGTAAAGACACGTTTACAACATCAATATCTAAAGTTTAATTAATATGATTTCTGATAGTGGAGATCCTCTAAATGGGGCCTGTAGGAGTGTCTACAGTTTTCATTTCATTTCTCTTCTCCCTTCATTGCTCCACATGTGAATACAGTCCACATCCCTTTAAAGACATTCTGTTATTCATCACCTAATACTTTATTCAAAACAAAATGGAAGAAAACACAAATTAGAACCTTGTTTGTTACACGACCTAGTATATGTTTGGATTAAAGTTCGAGGTTGCAAAAACAATTCTCCTTTTCATTTCATTTCAAATCGAGTTTGAAAAGATAACTTGGTTTAAAATTGGACCTAACTAAAAAATAAAGAGACATTTTCAATTTTACTTTCTAAATTGAAAATGGGGCCTCTAACTGAAAACCAAACATTACCTAAGAGTAAAAAATTCCGGGATAAAAGCATTGAAGAGAATCTCTTAATGGTTTAGTGCTGTTCACATGGATTTCAAAGGATATATCAGTGCATGTGAAAGATGTTTAATTGGAGATAGATCCTTTGATTCCTTTGAACCTTTTGCTTATATTTATGGTCCTTGTACTACTGCCAGCGCATGCTTCACTTGTTTGTTATACTTTCCCCACGAGAAACTACCGAGCAATGTGCTTCATCTATAAACTTTGTCAAAAGAGAGGTATAGAACAAGAAAATAAGTTAGTTTAGACCTGTTACCTAACTTAACTATCTGACAAAGTTTAACATAAAATATGGAGAAGTATAACCAAAGAAACCATGATTGTCTTCAGGGCTCTAAGCAATACAAAACGCAACCTTTTAGTACATTCAGAATGGTGAGATGTCGATATCTGGAATTCCTTTTTGTTGTCAATGCTCTAATTATGCTGGATTCACTCCACTTGTGACTCCATATTTTCTCAATTTGGAGGAGGCATGGAAGCCTATGGCTCTCGCCTCTTTAAATAAAGTTCTATTTCAAGCAATACCGATACGGTCTCACGGAGATACGAGTTATATTCAAAGCCTGTGAACAAGTTTGTGCCTATGTCCAATCTGGGGCTTTAATATTTTTTATGTATATGTGCATGCATATGAATTATATTTAAAAAAAAAAAAAAAAAAAGCCTTTGAAACTTCAACCATAGATTAAACATCTAAAGTTTTTTTTTATTATTATTTTAACTCAATCTTAAAAAGTAAAAACTAATATGAGAGTAAAGATTATTCTCTTCTTACATTTATTTAGTTATACCACTAATCAAAATTCAATACCCACTTATAAGCATCAAGTAAAGCCCAGGAATCTATGATCACAGGGTACCAACCTTGATGTCACAGTGAAATAGGGTTTCATTTTCTTCATGCCTCATTAGCTGTCACAATCTAACAGTTCAGTCGTCCGCATATAGCAGCACAATTACATTGGTTGCCATTATGTGCATGTAAGGGTCATTGTCATGTAATTTATGTTAGAGACAACTCACTCTCATAAAAGGTTCAAATCGACATTTCAAGCTATTTCACTAACAGGAATTGTAGCTTTCAAGGACACTGGTAACTAGGCAATTTGAAGTGTCTATTTGTGAAGATAAATTCCAAATCTAATAACCATACCCCAAATCAAATTCAAATTGTATCTCACACTAATTTACATCGAATGTAGTGTTTTATTGTCATCCATAACTCTTTTTTTTTTTTTTACTGAAAAGGCGAATATGCATTTTTTAAAAATCATAAAATGGAATAAATAATAAATTAGTTATTCAAAACAGCACAAATAACAATTTTTTTATTTTTTATCTTATCGTTTTTCACACCTTTCTATTTATAATATTAAAGTTGAGTTGAGCTACTGTGTATATAGTCACACATCAATTTAGAATACATCTAAAATGTTGTCTCAACAGAAATGTTTACTAATCATTTTATAATATTCTTATTTTAATATACCATATCCACCAACCCTAAATTATTAGATTAACTTTTCATGTTGTTACTCTTCTGTACCTGCAAAGCAAATTCATAGTTTCTCCACCATTGTTGCAACGGTTGCTTTTCCGTCATCTCTCACCATCTATTCACCCGCTCCATTTAAATTTACCAAATCTTCACCACCAACCAAATTCACTATTTTTCTATTTATAATATATAAAAAATGTCACCTTTATATGAGAATTCATGAGAGGTTTAGTAATTGCAGTTTCCAATGTCATAATGTCAATTACATTCTAATTTTGTCTTTTATTTACAACTCTTTAATATTAAATATTCTATCCAACTCGCCTTTATATGAAAATTTAGGAGAGACTCTACAATTGTAAATTTTATTGGCAAAAACAAGAAGAATCAAGAAATTGAGAGAGTTGACATGTGGAGTAAAAAGTAGTCTCTCTTTTTTTTTCCTCACTATATTCTTAATTTGTTTTCTCATATAATTTGGAATTTGAAAACTCATTTCACAACCGAGTGAAGCAATGTTCTTCTATTATGAAATAATTTTTTAAATTTTTGTTTCAATTGATATGAAGACTAAGAAGTTAAGAAAGACTCTGAAATAATCGTCTATAAAATGTCAATCATGAAATTGAAAGTTAGTTAATAAGATATTTTTTCTAGTTTTTTTTCGTCACTAAAGTTTGTTTTCACACAATTTAATATTTGATAACTCATTGAATGTTAGATGAAAATCAAATGCGATTCAAGTCAATGAATTCTTGAAATTTCTATAAATTTTATTTCTTCATTTCTTTTGTTAAAGCATTTATGTTCCACAATCTCTCACTAATATGTTCATTATTAATATGATTTATTTATTTCTTTTTTATTTTCTTAGAAATTGAGAAAGTTGACATACAAGTAGGAGGTAGTTTTTTTTTCACTATATTCTTATTTTGTCTCCTCATATAATTTGGAATTTGAAAACTCATTTTACAAACTAATGAAATAATTTTCTTTTATTGTGAAATCATTTTTTAAATAAAAAAAAT